GAGAAGGAGAGAGAGACAGAGAGAGAGAGAGAGAGACGAGAGGAGAGAGACGAGAAGGAGAGAGGAGAGAGAGACAGAGAGAGGGAGAGGAGAGAAGAAGAGAGAGAGGAGAGAGAGAGAGAGGACAGAGGAGAGGGGAGAGAGGAGCGAGAGAGAAGAGAGGAGAGAGAGAGAGGAGAGAGAGAGAGGAAGAGGAGAGAGAGAGAGAAGAGAGAGAGAGAGAGAGAGAGAGACAGACAGACAGAGAGAGAGAGAGAGAGACAGACAGAGAGAGAGAGGACAGACAGAGAGAGAGAGAGGACAGACAGAAGAGAGAGAGAGAGACAGACAGACAGAGAGAGAGAGAGACAGACAGACAGAGAGAGAGAGACAGACAGAGATAGAGTGAGAGACAGAGAGAGAGAGGAAGAGAGAAGAGAAGGAGAGAGAGAGAGAGAGAGAGAGAGAGGAGAGAGAGAGAGAGAGAGAGAGAGAGAGAGAGAGAGAGAACTTACTGTATTCAGATTCTGGGGGAAGGGTTGATTTCTTATAATAACCAGATAAGTTTTTGTAATTTGCTATCACCCCACCCCCAGTGCTTGCAGCTCCATTGCTCCCTGCACCCTGTTGCATCTGTGCATGCCATGGTGATCGAGGTGGAGAAGGTGGTACCTTTTCTAAAGACTCATATGGTACCTTTAACCTGTAAAAGAGGTATATATTAATAAGCTCTGAAATAAATTCACACTAGAGAAAAGGTAAAAATTATAATAGTAAATGTGCATACAAGTGTATCTTTCTGATTTACCTGCTGCCAATTTCTTCAATGTAAACATCTACAGGTCCCTTGTTTTCAGACATCTCTTGTATATGACCACGATAAACATCCACTCTCTCCTCAGTTACTTTTCCCATATTTCCTTCTCCACTGCCTGTGAATGAGAATATGAATTGTATGGATATGTTTCTTCTTAATTCTCAGAGCTTGAAGGTCTCTTCATGTATGAAGATCAAACAAATCTATATTCCACATTCAAAAACAGATGTCATGTTAACCCATTTACACCAGGTTAAAAATCTGATAAGTGTCCAATAAAGCAGGGTTGTTGGCATGCATTGACAGTTTCCTTTTTGCGCTCGGCTCTTTTGATATAATTTAAAAAAGCACCGAAAGTGCAATAGCACTTTAGGTGCTATTGCCTGAAAGTTTCACCATAGAAAAGACCACTACTATCGGAGAAAAACAAGCTCTGTCCAATGAGCCAACAGTGTGGAAACAGTCATGATGCAATGCCACCGTCTACTAGGTCCACAACAGCCATGGTATGTAGGCACATGCCACCTAACAGCAAGGGTTAAATGATAAAGACTAGAGTACTACTACTACCTTGCCGGGTGGCGATGTGGGCTTTCCTTAGATCTTCCACTTCTTGACGGTTTGGTAATAATTCTAATTTGATCAGCACCTTTACACCTGCTTGAAATCCATTGCTATCAAAAGGACCATAACGTGCTTCTGTAAGTAGAGAGAGAGAGAGAAAAAAAAAAAAAAAAAAAAGAAAGAAAGAAAGAAAACAGAACACTGTGCTTAACCCACTAATGACGGGTGTCCCACATATGAGGCACCCGAAAAAACAAACTTTGCCGGGCGTCCCGCCAGTTTGACGCTGTATCGGGGCTTGTGCTCCGACGCAGCAGTGGGCAACAACTGGCCGGCGGACAGAGTCCGGGACAGCACTGCCCGCCGATTTTGTGGCCACCCGGAATCTTTTATTTTCGGCTTCAAAATATACCAGTTGTTAATGGCTTAAAGTATAACACATGAATTGATTAAACAAATCTTTTCACATCCTCCAAAATCAGATGATGGTGGTTGTGGTGATGGTGTGGTGGTGGTGATGGTGAGGTGGTGGTGGTGATGGTGAGGTGGTGGTGGTGATGGTGAGGTGGTGGTGGTGATGGTGAGGTGGTGGTGGTGATGGTGAGGTGGTGGTGGTGATGGTGAGGTGGTGGTGGTGATGGTGAGGTGGTGGTGATGGTGAGGTGGTGGTGATGGTGATGGTGAGGTGGTGGTGATGGTGAAGTGGCAGTGGTGGTGATGGTGAAGTGGTGGTGGTGGTGATGGTGAGGTGGTGGTGAGGTGGTGGTGGTGATGGTGAAGTGGTGGTGGTGATGGTGAGGTGGTGATGGGTGAAGTGGTGGTGGTGATGGTGAGGTGGTGGTGGTGAGATGGTGAGGTGGTGGTGGTGAGATGGTGGTGTGTGGTGGTGAGATGGTGGTGGTGGTGGTGAGATGGTGGTGGTGTGGTGGTAGGTGTGGTGAGTGGTGGTGGTGGTGAGGTGGTGGTGGTGAGGTGGTGGTGATGGTGAGGTGGTGGTGGTGGTGGTGGAGGTAGTGAGTCTACAAATGCATTTGCACCTTCCATGTCAATGTTCTTTAACAGACAATAACATGTATTACTGGTTATATCAAATGGAGTAAGAAATGTAATGTATACTTTGCCAAGCCAAACATACCCGATTATTTCAGCCAACTGTATCATATATAACAAATGTAAAAGGAATAATAATCATTGAATTGGCATGTCTCACCTCTCCTAACAGTGTTCCAGGCATCATACTCAATATTTCGATAAATATCAGGATCTAGAGATTTAGCAACTTTATAAGGGAATGGTGGGATGCCATGGGCAAGTAGACCTTTTACATCATCTGGATGAATGTCTTCTAAACTCAGTCGCTCTTCTGTACTGGTGCTGAAACGAGATATTTAATGCAGAAATTAGTCACTTCATTAATACATTTACACATAGATTGGAAATTAGAGAGGATGAAAAAAGAAGTGGGAGAGGGTGAAGCATAGTACATACTATATACCAAATATAGGAAAAGAAGAAAAGCACTCCTACTCAACTTACTTTTTATCACCCTCATCTTGACTATTATCTCGTGATACACTAGTTCCTAGTATTTTTTCCACAAGGGCACCTATCTCTTTCAGTTCTGCAGAATTAGCTGAATCTCTTCGAAGGGTTGCATATTCTTTGTCATGCAGCATTGTGTCAACTGCTAGCCTTACATCCTTTAGTTTAAAAACTCTTGAGTAGAGTATGTCATACACGACAGCTGCGGATCAAACATTTGTTCAGCACAATGTCACTTTTGGTTCTGAATTTCACATGTGTTAATTTTATATGAAGAACAAATACATCTAAAGACCAATAAGGAAATCATCATCATAATAATAATAATAATAATAAAACAGGCAGTATATCGAAGACACCTACAGTCACACACAAGAAAAATATTAGTCATAAAATATATTCTTACACAGTTCACTTGAAAAACACTTACACTGGCAAAATCCTCGAGATGAAGCATGATCTTTTTTGTACACAATGTCATAGTGGTTCCCATTCGTAAAACTGAGCATAAGAGTTCTAGGGTGATCATAATCTGTAGCTTTGCAGGGGGCTCTTCCAATCCCTTGGTAAATAAGGAAATCTACCCTGAAAGACAGAATTATCAATGAAATTAGCTTACAATAACTTCTTTGCCTTTACTTAAAAAACTTGATGCAAAATGTATGTGTAAATACTTCATTCACCTACAAAAATATTCTACTTTCATTTGTGATACCTTACTTATCAATCAAACTAACTAAAAGGACTCCTCATGCCAGATCTCTCTCCAGCATCTACAAACTACTTACTTGAAAAGGCGTGACATAGCCAGTATTTCTGTGTGGCCTCCCCATTCCCTAACATCCTGGAGATTAAACACATGATGGTCTAATGGTATCTCCAGAAACTGAAAAGGGTTATTGTCAAAGGTTATTCCTAGAAATAAATAAATTTATAAATAAAGACTATTATTCAGATATATCTAAATTTTACTTCCCCATATGTATTGACTCACTCTAAATAACTTTATTACTCTAAAATGATAATATAACTAAGAATACAGCATGGGAAAAATTTATTGGCCATATAAAACAATACATTAAAACTACATTAAACTGCATTACAATGCTACTTATTCTAAGCTGAAAAAATCCTGAGTTGACAATAATGACAATAATTATTATACACCAATAATATATATTCAATATAAAGTAATACCAATTTTAGCGTATAAGAGAAAATAGGTAAATTACACTTACTGGCTGAAAGTCTTCCTTATAAAGCATCATATATTCCAGACACAGGGATCTGACACGAACATGTTCTGTCTGTGACATGATGACCTGAAATAATGGGACTTCTTTGGGATCAAAAGTACTTTATGTAATATTGTTTAGCTTTTAACACAAAAATGACTGGACATCAATTAAATTAATAAAAGACCCATGCAATTACGACAATTAGCTATCCTTGCATAAATACCCAAAAATGAGTCCCGGTAACCAACTGCTTGTACCATTTCATGAATTCATTCTTTCATTACAGGATGTAAGAAAAAACTGAAGGTTTGCCTAACTTTTCCCAGATATTTTTCATCATCTTGTTATGGGGAATCTACTAAACTTATAAGGAAAAACACATTCCTTCTACATAGTGCCCTAAGTTCTTTACCCCCCCTCCCACACACACACACACACACACACACACACACACACACAACACACACACACAACACACACACACCACACACACACACAGAGAGAGAGAGAGAGAGAGAGACGAGAGAGGAGAGAGAGAGAGAGAGATAGAGGGAGGAGAGAGAGAGAGAGAGAGAAAGAGAGAGAGAGACTTTGACTTTGATAAGTTTATTGAGACAAAAGGTTACATCTCAAAAGGATGTGGTAACGTAGGTTATCCTCACCCTTATCTTGATAAGTCCTTGTGTGGGCTCACAGTTCTCATACAAAATTAGGTGTATTACCAGATAATAACATAAAATACAAAATAGAAATATTGAGAGTCATGGTCTATAAAATAGAAAGTTCGTACGCACACTCACAGATGAGCTGTGAGGTACTGTAGGCGACCCGTGTGTGTAGGCGTACGAGGATAGAGTAAACAAACTGTTGTACTTTGTCGTACATATTTTTGTGAAATCCGCTGTCTCTGAAGTCTGAACAGCAATGTTATAAGGCTCCACTATGCTTTACCTTGCCCTTCCATTCTGCCATTTTATCTTTAATCTTTGCCAAGTTTTGTTCAAATTCCCATCGATTGTGATCGTTGTACTCCACATCTCATTTTCTGAATCTTGCTCCTTTGCAGAAATACACGTTTGTTTCATTTCTGTGTCTTTAGTCGGAGTTTCTTTCGTTGCCTCCTAACCCTCTTTCTGTTTTACTGTTTCTTCGCTGGGAACCTGGGCCAGTTTCTTTTCGATAACGTCCATTCTCTGCATCAGCGTCTGGAACATCCTGGTCATTTCGGATATTTCCTTAGAAAAATCCGCACCACTACTCCGCAGTACTTCCTTCGCTTCCTGCATCTGCATGTCCTATCCATCATCACAAGCCATTGGCGACGGCACCACCCACAGTGGGCCCTGCACCCAGGCATTAGGGACTGCATCTGTCTCCTCCTTCGGCACCTCTGGCTACATGGTGACCGGCCCTTTTCCATTTTCAGCAACTCCTTCCTTGGGGACCGCCGAAGCAATCTTGAATTGTGGTCTCGCCCTGCATGCAGGAGACCTGACATTGTGGCGGCCTTCGCAGTTGCAGCAGCAAGGTGTAATCCTTTCTCCCTTTTCAATTTTAGCCCGGCAGACCCTTGAGTCATGTGTCCTGCAACAGAACCTGCATCGAGCATCCTGTTGATAGGCCCACGACTTGTGGCCCCATCTGCAGCACTTGAGGCACATGACTGGCGGCTCTATATACAGTGCCACCCTCCTGTACCCCGCTCCAGAGATTAATACTTTCTCTGGCACTTCCCCTTTCACAAGGGCAACGAGCTGGCTCTGCTCCTCGCCCCTGGATGTATGCCGCTTACCACACAAATCTCTCGTTGTCCAGTGAAGTCCGGGTCTAATATCGTGGAATATCGGAAAATTATCCCCTTAGTGAACTTTTCCCCAGCCTTTGGGACAGTCATCACTGTCCCCTTGTATCCCTGAGTCGTCAGGATCTGCACCGTCTGGCCTGCCCGCACCGTGAGATACAGCCTTCCTCTTCCTTCCTTCATCACTGGCTCGAAATCAGCGTGGTCCCGGCCCAGTTCCATGGGCCACCTTAATTTTTTTAAGAAACTCATGGCGCAGTCCTGTGAATATAGCAGTCTTTTCCTGTCGTTCACACTGGCAACATTCTGGGCTGCTGCTTCGCTTCTGTCGTTCTTCTTCCTCTTCTCCCATTCGCATCCATTCTTGTAACTCATGTCTACGCTTCCATCG